TAGTATTTAATATAAAATAAATTTTGCATGAAGATCTTACTTTGTATTTAAATTTTGGAATCTTTGATTGATTTGTTCAGTTGATTTTTTAATTTTAGACGTGTCATCATTTTGATAAACTGCTATTAGTTTCTGAGTAAGTTGATTGAATAAATCTATTTGATGCTTATATTGATGAAGTTCAACATGGAATGTCTAAAAAAATAACAGTAATTTGTAATAAACATTTATNAAAAAAATAACAGTAATTTGTAATAAACATTTATTTACTTATATAGTTTTTAATTATCAATGTATTTTTAACTTAACGTCTGAAATTTTAAATTAATTTAGTGTAGAAATAGATATATATATATATATATATATACAGACATTATTTTTGTAGATTTTAAATACCAGAAAATTTGCTTAATAATATGAAAAGAGGATTAATCTGTACTTTTATACTAAAGTTAGATTAACAAAAATTATCTTAAGGGATTTTTACACAAAAAACATTACCATTATGTNTTATACTAAAGTTAGTTTAACAAAAATTATCTTAAGGGATTTTTACACAAAAAACATTACCATTATGTGTTTTATACAAACTAGATAACTAAACTGTAACATTTTGATTTATTTAATAATTTATAAAAGTTAAAAAAACTATTATCAAACTATAAAAAATACCATTATTAATAATTTTCAAAGGTTTGACAACCATATTTGAAAAAATTGTTTTAAAATAGTTCAAATTTTATGTCTTTTATAGTAGCTTTACTACTAGATAATTTAAATACCAATATACACATAAAATAAAATTGATATTTCATAATTATATTTTAAGGTATGATATATATGATCATTTATCTTACTAGATTGCTCCAAAAACCGTGTATAAAATCACTTTAAATTAAATATCAGCTAACAAATTTTTTGTGTAGAGTGCACAATAACTTATTTTGCAACATAGAAGTTTTTATTTTTATTATAAGCTAATATTTTAAATTTATTTTTTGTAACATTTTTACTTATGATAAACAATATAAAAATAAAGCATTTCATACTGAGCTATACTAGCTATACATTAATATATTTTCAAAGTAATTAATCAATGCTGCCATAAAAAAGTGACTAAGTGATATTTTAATTATTTATCTATCATAAACTTATCTATGGCTCCTGATTTAAAACTTAATTATAAACAGGACTTGGTCAAGGTATTTATAAAGTTTATTTTAGTCAATCTGAGTAATTCAATGATAAATAGATATTAGTTTGTTTTTCTTAACATTAATCAATGTAAAAAAATGTAGGAATTTACTTATGGGGGTATGACCCAATGAGATAACCCTCTTCTAAATCACAAATATTTCTATGGTACTGTATATAATTATGATAAATTATCATGAAGTTAGATGTGGCCCAAACAACATTTTAAAATACATAAAGTTTCAAGCACCAATTATAAATAACCATTTAAAAACAATATAATATAGTTACTTAATTAATAAAATTAATTTAAATAATAACAATACTTTTTGCTCTCTTTGTTGTGATTCTAGTATATCTGCAGTGTTTCCAACTATACCCATTTTTTGAAGCTTGGATTCCATTCGATTAAGCCAGTTATCGAGTTCTAATCTTTTTGTATCATAGCGTTCACTATCTCCTAACATAGCATTTAATTCAGTTTTACGTTGCATTACTTTGTTATTGGTTTCA